CAGCCTTAAAGCTCATACCAAAAGCATGCAGGATCAGCCCTAGTCAAAACATATCCCAGCACATTTAGCATTTCTCAGTATATACTGACTGAAATTGCTATCTCTATAACCAACAGCTGTATAAACAACTTACATTTTAAATTACACCTTTTCCGTTAACAGGTTATACTTCTATTGCAATTAAAAAGTAATGGGGCAAAACACCAGCCAGATGCCCAAGAGATTTATTTTACTCTGCCTCTGTAGTAGAGGGAATTTATACTGCTGAATAAAGTCCTGATTGTGACATTATTTATATTACAAGGAACCTTTTGAAAAGTTCATAGATAAAATTCCAAAACTGTACCGAAAGTTGAAGTTTTCACATATTTTAATTAAATGACTACCATTTGAATACCTTGCATCCTTCTCCTGTTTACACTTCAAGCCTTTCATCAAGAGGTAGCATTGTTCTATTATATAAACGTGAAAAAATAATAAGACAAAAGCCAAACTGGCCAAAGAACCTAAACTTTTTGAGTGCAGTGACTTGACCAGAAGTACAAACTGTTTCTTAGAAATACCATTTTGATTATGTAAGACACTTTACAGATTTGGATTAAATATGTTGCATAGTGCCACTGCTAAACCCCATTCTACAGAAACAGAGAAATCACAGGCTTTTTTTAATAAGTAAAAAAGTAAGTTTGTTTTGTTTCTCTGAATATGAAGCAATATCCAGTTGAGTTCCATAGATATTAAACACAAATTAAACTGACACTATTTAGAATTGTGGGAACTCCTCATATTTAATGGTTGAAGCACTTCAGGATGGTCAGCTGGAACAAATGTCAAAATTTTGAAGGACTTTTGTTTCAAGTAACTCTGATTATAAAGAAATGATCTTAGGAATCTAAGCCACAAGTTCTCTTCCTCCATAGGCTTTCCACCCATTGCTTTTAAACCACACCGATTATATATACTTTCTCAAATAAATCATTCTATCCTCACAAAACAACTTGCTTAACAATTAAGAGTTCTCTTAAGTCTGTGACTTAAGCCACTTTATTTTATCACAGCCACAGATTTGAATAATGAGCCTTTTATTTCTGCAAAGATTAAGTTTCAATTATTTTAAACACTTGTATTTTGTAGACATCATTCACAAGAGCAGAGTTGGGTCTACAGTGACTGTTAATTCATATAGAACAAAACAGTTATCAGTCACACATCTGAAATAAACCAATTAATATTAGAATTTCCATTAATGTGAGAACTTTAAAAGGATGTTAAAAAGCAACAGAGGAGGATGAAAAAAGATGTGTAAGGTAAAAGAAAAAAGTAATATAGCAGTATTTTTGTTACACAGGCACACAATCAATGCATATTCATTCAGAAAGAAGAATAATGAAGAATGCAAATGTAAAATGTATGCATGCTCTTCAGATCACACACCACCGTACCCAATGCTTTCAGTTATTCTTAACTTACAACCAAGTAACCAAGAGCTGAGCTTTAATCATGCTGTTTCAAATATAAAAATGCCACAGGTGAAGAATTTAAATCTAAGACACTAAGCAGAATCGCAATGAACAGTGATGTATCCAAAATTACAGTTTTGTCCATTATATGCACAGTTTATATCATTATAGAGATATTTATGTGTTATACCTATTGTAACATTTTTCAGTGTGAAAATACACTGACATATAAATACGACTGATATTTTCAAGGGTACTGAAATAGTCCACACATGGAAAAAAAAATAAATCAGAATTTACTCACTTGCGCCAATTTGTCATTCCTGATATACCAGTGGTCATACAACTGAGTAATTCCATTGATACCTAGCTCTTACCGAAGTAGTTAAAGAGCAGTACAGAGCTTTGTTACTATAATAACAAAGACAAGCGTGTGATCTAGGACCTCTTTTACTTTATACTGCTCTTTCTTGTTGATGTAAAGCTAAGTGAAGATGTTTCTAATACTATTCTCCACTGAGGTGAGGACTAACAGACTTATAATAATGAGCTTTCACTGTTAGAGAAACTTAGGTTTTAAATCAACATTATATCTCTCTCTGGAGTCTTTATATGGTCACTTAGATGCAAATTAATCATTAACTTGAACAGCATGACACCTCCTCAAGTTAAGATAATCTGTGCTATTAGGAAAATCTTATCAGCCTTTCTCCTAACCGATTACAAATCAGAATGTGACCCTCATGTGGAGGTAAAGCCAGTGCCTCAGAAGTTAGGAAGAGAGGAAGGCTTTCTTCAGTAACTGCATGAGAATCCTTGGAAATTGGGTTAATATTACTTTTTTTTCCACTTGAGAAATTCTTCCAGGTTTACTTCTTACTTGCAGACTAAAATGCGGCATATTTTCTGCTAGTAAATAAATGAGTTACATTTCTCTCAGTCCATTTTTATACTAGTGGTTCAATACTTAGAATGTGCTTTTACTAGCTCACAGATCTGACCACAGGCATTTGCCATGCAGATTTAACCTCCCTGAGGCTATGTGGTTTGCTGTATTAGATAATTTCAAGCACGATAGTTTTACTTACTCTTCTGGTCTGAATGTTTTCTCTTACAACTTTTATTCCCTCTTATTTACTCCTTGGATTGCTGCCAATGAAAAGCTTTTAAAACCTCCTCTCTGAGAACTCGCATTACACTGACTGTGTAAGAAATGTATTTCTAAAGCTGACCTATAACTGTTGCTCTGTAGGCAGGCTGCAAGACACAGGTCTTTGGCTTTTTTACTCTAAAACTTTGAGTGTGGAATAACATCAGTTTTATGTGACACTGAATGCTGACAGGTGGATAAAATAAACTACTAATGTATATTCCAAAAGAAAATTTCCTGAGTAGGTCACAAGACTGAAAGAAACAGTAGAGGAAACCAACCTGGCAAAATGATAGTCTACAAAAGCATACCAAAACATGCCATTTCTGAAATCTGGTTTCCCAAACCCAAACCATGTTTCACAATGAAGCTGACAAAGCTGACAAATAGTTTAAAAAGCTGAATGGCTTGAAAACAAACCAACCCCACTCCATGCAACTTGAAGATTATTTGCAGTCACTGATCTGCACAAGAGAAATTCCTACAATATTTATTAGTACTGTTGTAAATCCAGAATAATTTGTCTCCCTTATAACAATACTATCCCTGTTTGATACAATAAACATAATCCCCAATGAACAGTTGTAATAAATAGTAGAAAATAAACAGATTCCTTGTCTGAGAGAATACAGGGGAGACGATAAGCCTATGTTTTAAGGGACTCTTAATAACTGCTTTAATAAATAACAAAAATATAGCCAAGAATCCAAATTTAGTAATCCTGTGTGACTTCACTTTTAGGAAAAAAAAATAAACCTCTTGCTAACAGAAATTTACGTATTTTGCTAACCAGGTTTATTTCTCACATAAACCAAAACTCATGGCGTCAAGATCTCCTGTGGTCTGAGAGGTGTAGTATATCAGCCTCAGGACTGAAGATTACACTTAAGTCTATTTCCAGGAAAAAAGTCTGCAAGAAGGACAAATGCTGAGTTTTCCACAGAGAATCAAATTTGCTGTGACATTTTTAAGCAAATATGAAAATATTTTCTTTTATGATTCGAATTACATTGCCACGTTTATCTGAGAGACAAAAATGCACATCTGCAAAGTTAACTGAACACTAAGAATAACTTTGGTAGGACTGAAATAGAAAATAGCCAAAGCAACCTTCAGTATTCGTACTATAAATGTTGCATAAATTTTGCTGGGAAATAGTTATTACTTTGATATACTGAAGTCTGCAGATCCTTTTTCATGCTTTATAGATCCTATATACACAGATCTGGAATTAAAATTATGTGGAATAGCTGCTAAGTGACAACAGAAATTTGCACCGGTCCACAAGCCTGTCACAAACACTGCACTCATAGGCCTCTTGCCTTCACAGTTTCCTTAGAGGCACTGCCTTGTGTTTATATCTGAAACAGAATACTTTGCCTAATAGCTGCAGTGATTTCTGTTCAGAAACAGAAGTCTCCTTATTTATATAAATTCTTGACTTAATCTATTTTAAGTTACACAACAACATGACAACGATGCTCCACTATCTGGCATATTTCTGTTTAGGTCTGCACTTGTTAAATAGAAACACATTAGCATGCAGTGCCAGGAAGCATTCCAGTTCAAATCATCTTCAGCTTTCCTCTTGAAATTGGAAAGATGTGGGCATATGTAGATAAGCACAGTGCAAGAAGAGAAATGAGGGGAATATGAAGTCACTGCATTGTTACATTGGCAAGAAACCACATACCTTTTCTCATGACCAATAACTAATGCCAGGCCTCCTCGTCCTCAGCTGACAAACTGAGGGGACGTTTGGCTTTTCAGGTGCAAATATAACCTACACTAGTGAAGGTTGAGGACAAACATGCTTTCTGAACAGTTTATCTATGTCCAATTCCAACCTGGTCTCCAAACAGTGTAACATGCCTCTTCCTTCTCCTTACCTTGCAGAAGACAATGGACTGAAAAAGAACATGGTGTTTTGAAGACTTCAATCAAGGATACAGGTGTATACAACCAACATATATACTAGAGTCATATTTTGCCCACAAGTATGAAAACAAAGTTAATTTTGAATGGTGTCGCATCCTACTGTGCAGGAAAAAAAATACACACCAAAACTTGTTTCCCCTATACTGAAAGCTGCTGGGTGAGATAATATGTAACCTATAATACTATCAGTAATATTACAATTTAATATAATGTCATGTCCCCCCCTTTTATTTTCTTTTCGTTTGTTCTAAACATTCATCTGTTTGCTTGAATGCCATACCTCTATAAAATCAGTCACTCTGAAGTGTTAATCTGCTGAAGATCTAAGAAGATGCACTTACAGAAGATGACTTTACAGTACAAGATGCTTTTCATGTAAGGATATAACCTTAGAAAACCTAATTCTATCTCTTTCTGGTATCTTCAATTTAATCATTTTTATTTCTAACTACCTCTGATGCCTTGATGTCCTCATAAGAAAACTGCGTGACAGGTACTCCGAGATGGTTGATGAAATAATCTGAATCTCCCTGTATCTGCACAGAACTCACATTAGATCCTGGACATCTAGTCTTTTCCACACACTTGAAGCTCTGGCTCTGAAAAACAAAAAGAAATCAGAATTCTAGTTACATATTTGCAACCAGGCTCTTAATGACTTGTATCAATATCTCATTTACACGGCATTCTTTGGATGGAAGCATCTTAAGAACAGCCTGGAACTTATACTGGTGTAAACAGGTATTAGCTGGTTCATACTTAGTAGTGAGTGAGTCTACAAACTTTTTACCCTCTATTGATATATATTGTAGGATCAGACATAGCAGATAATGAAGTGTGCAGCAACATGGCTGAGTCTTTCAAAGGACAAGGAAAGTCATATCTAATTGAAATAGTAGGAGTGGCAAGAGAAGAAGCCTTTGGTAGGCTATGAAATGTCCCATGCTGGGCAGGAGATCATAGGTCATCATGGTGCCTTTTGGAAGCATGTTCCCAGGTCTTTAATGGTTAATTAAGGAATTAATTCTGTATTCAGTTAATAGCATGTTCTCTAACAGCAAAAAGCTGAATGAGATTACCATATTCAGGATATCTGATAATGTATGAAATGCTGGCAACTTTTCTGTGTAAATTGCTTAAAACAATTCCAATCAGTGACATGTTTGTATTTCTTTCAAATAAGCATTTTATGTGAAGTCATAGCAACAAAATGGTAACAGATATAACAAGAAAACTGGAAAACAAGCCCAAGACTGAGTGCTACATACTCGTGTAGCTCCCAAATATATTAGGTAACTAAACACTTAATAAGCAGTAGGCACAAAGGCTTTCAGCATCTATTATAGCAAATAAAGTATTTAGGGTTTTTAAGAATGTTAGGAAGTTGAAGAACTAGAGATTATTTTGTTTTAACTAACAGTTTACATAGTGTAACTTCAGCTCCTCAGACCTACTTACTAAGTAATTACTAGCTTGCTACAAAAACAATTTAATACTAAATAAATAACGTCTAATACTAAAATGCACCAGATTCTGTATATTAAAGATCCTGAGCTTGGCAGGAAAATGTTATAAGAGTTAGAAAAAGACAAATCTGGGTATTTTTCCATGTTTAAATTAGCATAATTATTGCTTCACAGTTTCACTTCAGTGCTATGAAGAATGTAATTGCGTATTATCCGCTGTATATGACAGAAAAAGCCCAAACTATATACTTGTTTCAAAAGGTATTTTTAAATAACTACACTTTATCTTCTACAGTCTTTCTCAGTCAAAAAAATTGTATAGCAGTGTTGTGGTTAAGCCCAGCTGGTAACTCAGACCCACACAACTGCTGGCTCACTGCTTCCCTTCTCCCCACCCCACTCCCAGTGGGATGGGGAGGAGAACTGGAAGAATGTAAATTCCATGGCTTGAGATCAGAACAGTCGAATAACTAAAAATAACTACTACTGCTACCATCAGTAATAATAATGATAAGGGAAATAACAAGGGGAGAGTATATAAACCTAAAAAAAGGGAAGGAAAAACCCCCCAGTAAACTTAAGCGATGCACAATACAATTGCTCACCCACCGACTGATACCCAGCCCAACCTGAGCACCAGTCTGGGTCTTCCAGGTAACTCTCCCCAGTTTATATACTGGGCATGATGTGCTGTAGTAGGAATATCCCTTTGGCTAGTTTGGGTCGGGTGTCCTGCCCTTGTTTCCTCCTGGCTTGTTGTGCTCCTCCTCACTGGCAGAGCATGAGAGACTGAAAAGTCCTTGACTTGGATAAGCACTACTAAGCAACAACTAAAACATCAGCGTGTTACCACACTGTTCTCAGACTGAGACCAAAACACAGCACTGCACCATCTACTAAGAAAGAGAAAACTAGGTGTTACAGCTGAACCCAGGACAAGCACACATAAAGGCATGTCATTAATTTTAAGCATATATATGTACACAAGGTCCATTCTTAAGTGATTGCTCCTTTCAGGAATTACGTTTTAAGTATCATGCCATGCACTATGCTATCGTGTAGATTAGACTATATTGCAACTTCCTCATACTGCCCAATGCATCTGGTCCGGTTTCATAAATGATGAGTAGTCTGTTCCTTCTTTAATGTTTAGAAGTTTACTGAATTACACAAAACACAGCTTTTTGCTTCAACAGGAAAATCTCTGAAATAAGCAAAAAACCAGTTACCTACCAAAGTCACAAATCGCAAAGTTAAATGACCAAATTTATACCAATAGAACTGTTGGACAAAATAATTCAGCATCAGAAAAGGACAGAGCTGAAGAGTCAATGATCCATAAGAAAGCTAAATAGTATATGGAAGGATCTTTTCTTTCTAAAAAGACCTGAACCTAGCTCTGAGTAAACAATGGCAGACAAACTCTTCAAGGCTAATGCTACTTGCATCTACTAAGAACTTAAGTAACTATCGTGACTATCCAGAATTAATTTTCTAGAAGTAATTAACAGAAGGGATATCTTGAAGTGTGGCATGGACCGTCAGAATCTTACCGTATACCTCAGAGGTAAGGAATTTGAGCAGGAAAATGAATGTACCTCTTTCCTTGTCAGTCTAAATCTTTATACCTTTCACTCTAACATTTCATCATCTCCTATGTATCTGTACCTAGAATTTATTGTGGGGTTTTCAGAAAAGGAATACTGTAAGCTGCTGCATGGAGGTACAAGTGTGGACTTGGAATTTATACCCAGAATTCCCTTTGGGGAGGGGGTAATAGAGGATAATCAAAAAGGAAAACAAGGGTTCATGCAACGAATAACATTTCCCACAGCAAAAAAAGCCAGAATTTTTTAATCTAGTCTGTGAGAAGTCAACTGGTGTAACTGTATGAATAAAGTTCTAAGACATTTTCTGCTAGTGCCATCTCACTATACCCCAAAATGGTGGCTAAATAGCAAGTCATCTACTAAGCAGGTTACGTTTCACATAAAAGCAATCGAGGTTATAGATACTGCATGGACACAGGTAATTAAGACTACTTTGATATTGTTCTGTATTGTTTCTAAGAAAATGATGGTAGAGTCAGTTCAGAACAGACACCACTTCTGTTAGCATGCAGAAACCTAAGAGACACCTTCCTTTTTCAGAAACCCAAGCTTTTAGCCAGCATTCTGTCCCTCGGAAAACACTACATTCCAATTTAACTGTTCAAAACCATGTCACTTTTTTTTTTCACTGTAAGCAACAATGAAATATTTTTTCTGTATGGAAGTTTACTTATGTTTACAGATTTGGTTAAGAGTAGAATGAGAGATGGTATTTTTTGGCTTTTGTATCACCAGCCTTCACAGTATAGGATTTATATTTTCATGACAGCAATATTCAATTCCATAGGGCTAGCATCCTAAGAGTTTAACCGCTTTGTTCAACTTTCACTGCTGCTAGGAAATGAAGGTCACTCCTTTGTAAAAGACTGCTAGGGGATGTGGGTCACAGAATTGACCTGAGTGGGAAAGAAGATTACAACAATGCCAGTGTCTACAAGCATGGGATTTAAAAGCATTTTAAGAGTTCTTTAATGCCAAATAACTTGTCAATCATCATGTAATAGAAACTGTGTATCACTTTGGCATTGAGGTGTCCCTGCCCATGGCAGGGGAGTTGGAACTAGATGATCTTAAGATCCTTTCCAACCCTATTCTATGATTCTGCTTTCCCTTTCCTTCCCCCCTATCCCAACTAGTCTGCTAATTTTACACCTTTAAATCTTAAACAGTGTCAATTTGATTAGTTCTAATTATAAGAATCCACAGAATCTTTCCTTTCATATAAGCAAAAAAAAATTATTTGTGAATTCCCCAGTCTGGAAAAAAAGTTATGCATTATTTCATCAGTTGCAGTCAGGTCCTACTTAATGAACTTTTAAATATTAGCTTTTATGTAGGGAAAAAAAAACAAACAAACAAAAAAAACCCAACATAAAAAACCCCACCAAAATTAAAAATGACTCTAGAATAAATTATCAGCAACACGGTTTGTAGGAACCACCTCCCAGTTGTAGCAGGCAAACTGCATTTCTTCAGCTAGTTAGTCTTACAGTAAAATACACATAATAGCACTGTTCAGATCATTTAGTTGTTCATGCTGATCTCCACTGTGTCAATCAAGCCCTCCCCTCAGACTGGAAGGAAATCAAGCCATGTGGTTAGACAGTAATCAAGGAGTGGTTCATGCCAGTGTAAGGATGCACATGCTATTCATAATGGAATAATTTTATTTCTCTGGAGTTCATTTTGGTTTCGGCATCGTGTTAGAGGTTTATTTTACAAATTTGAGAAAACCAAGAGCACCATATGGCCCATTAAATATATTTGATTTAGGTTAATGTTATAAAACAGATCTGACAAATATAAAGTATAATCAAGTGGTACTTCACTGCAGACTTTATTCTAACACTAATTAGACCTAAGCATTCATAGGTGCCTTTTGCGGCAATGTTAAGATCCTGGTATAAATAAAAGTCTGTAATAAAAAAGAAAAAAAATATCTTGGCCATTTCTATAGTTCACTTTTCACTGACAGTTACACATTTAGAGACATGTACCTGTCAGTTAGCTCTGCCTACCTTCCTTCTTTTATGTGACTCCAGCTGAAACTAAAACATTGGCAGCTTCTGAAAAATGATTAAAATATTTAAGTAGTTTTTCAACAGGACAAATGAAGAATGACCAATTATTCTTGCAACGATCCCAGTTTCAGAGTTAAGCAAGGAAGCTTATTCTTCATGAATAATCGAACTTTATTCCATGAGCTGAACCACCATCTTTATTAGTAGCAGGTGCAAGGAAAACACATTTAGGAAGCCAAAGCATGGTAGCCATCTAAATTAAGTAAAAAAAAAATATTAACAAACGAGAATAATATATTAAATTAATCACAGGCCATGTAAAAATGCAAAAAGCAACATATTGGCATCTTTATTACTGCAAATGTGTTACACTAAATTATCATCAACAGGTAGGAAGGGCCAGAGAAGCTGCATAGCAAAAGATTCACAAGTATATATCTCCTCTCATCTATAAATCCCTGCTACACTGAGAAACAAATCGTTAGAGGAAGAAGGTTTGACA